AAGGATCTTGGATGCAAAAGGCAGTAGCGAGATAGGATAGTTGGATGGGGAGTTAGGGTCAAGATTGGGCTTCTTTAGAATTGGGGTTACAGTTGCATGTTTGAAGGGCAATAGAAATATACCAGAGGAGAGAGAGAGATTGAGAATTTTAGTGAGAGGTGGAGAAAGAGAAGAAGACAGAGTACGGATGAGATGCGAGGGAATTGGATCTAGGAAGCAGGTGGTGGGGCGGGAGGACTGGAGCAGAGCAGAAACCTCTTCCAATGTAGCGGGTGCGAATGAACATAGAATAGCAGAGGGAGTGAAGTTAGGGGAAGTATTGTAAGGGGAAGAAGAAAGATGAGATATATCTTCTCTGATTGTAGAGATCTTGTCAGTGACGTGAGTTGCAAAGTCTGAGGCGGTCAAGTTAGTAGGTGGAGGAGGAACAGCAGAGAGAAGAAGAGAGTTAAATGTGTGAAATAGTCGTTTGGGTTCGCGGGACGGTGTGGTTATGAGGGTATTGAACTAATTAACTTTTGCAGAGGAAAGAGCTAAGCTGTATGAGCTCAGCATAAATTTATAGTGGAGAAAGTCAGATGCACAGTGAGACTTTCTCCAACGGCGTTCAGCAGTTCTGGAGCATTTTTGGAGGTATCGAGTGAGCTTGAATAACCTTTTAATGTGGGAAAGGATTTTTCTGAACTCACTGTATGCATGTAAATGTATATGTTTGAGTATCTGTATTTGTGTGTGTTTGTGTCTGTATGTGTGAACATATGCCTGTATGTGCATGATTGTCTGCTTGTGCGAGTGTCACTGGGTAGTTACGTGCATGCGAGAGAATGTGCTGCTAGTTTTATATCTTTGCTCATTAGTCCATGAAAAAGATAATGAGATAGGAATCATGAGGAACAAAACGTTGGAATTTGCAGGAATTATTGGGTGGAGTTTGGTTGTTTCAATGGGTTTGGTCTTGATAAGAACTTTAACAGTTTTGCTTTGAACTCCAGTCCCAGGTGTAATTGAGACCTAGCAATGTCCCTAGTGTATACCCTGCTAATTCATAATAGATCTACCACTTTATCCTTATTGTTCAAAACATAGAGGATAATGCTGAGAGTAATTTATTTTTTCAAAAGACTCAAGACTTTTTAAAGAAAATAAATCATTGTACTCCAACCACATCATTTTTAGTCATTTATTTTTTGGGGGTGAAGGGGTCAGGGGGTATGGCTTTTGTAATGCCTTTAGCTGTTGTGTTTCACAAGAGCACTTTTAATATTTTTGGATAATTAAGATATCAAGGGTATAAAGACAAAAATGTAAGTCTAAAATAGTCAAAAAAGAAACAGTTCTTTCTATTTTTTATTTCTCGTTTTTTTTCTTTTTGTTTGTGTTACTGGAGTTCACTTTTAAGTGAAGTACTAATAAATTACAAGTAGCTTGTTTTATATTTTATGTATTACAGGCACGCACTTGTACTCTGCAGACTATCTATAAGATGGAACTGATGGAGTGTGTAATCAGTGTAAACTGATGTACCGCACAGAAGGTCAAAATCCTGCAAAAGTAATAAAACCGTGCCTCGTTCTTGAACTCACACCACTCTAGACATTGTATTTATTCAAAGTGTTAAATACAAATTTAGCATTAGAATAAAACTTTTTTTAAACCTGTTATGTATACTATGCAAGAGCAATATAATATTCCCTTCAAACAAAGATGACAAATACTATAAACAAAAGAACTTTATAAAAATGTTTATATAGCAATGTGGAGTGAATTTATGTTTTGTAGTTTACATTCCTGTACTCTCATGGAATTTGGCTTCAAAGATGAATTAATATTTTGCAGAAGGTATTGCAGAGCAATTATAGGTTTTATGTGCAAGCAGTTTTTTTGTTTCTATAAATAAATCTCCATCAATTACTTTATTCCTTAATTATATACCTCTAAATGTTTATGTTTGCTCATTCGCTCTCAGATTTTATTGAGAAACGCGTTGGAAGGTTTATCTACTCTCCCTGTATTAAATGAAACAAAAATTAATACTTACAATGCATCAGTACCGCACATGTATGATACTAGCTAAAATATGTAAGTTTTTATAGAATTCGTACCATGCCTAAAATAGAGAAACAGCAAAATAACTTCATTTTAATGTAATGCTTTTGGTGTATAGGTGCAGCCCCTGCAGTCTTGCAATTAAAAACATTGATATTTCTGAGACACGGCACTATTTAAATTTTTCAATCACCACCCCTGTTATTCAAACAGCCAATAGGCCTAAAATAGATTCAGTTACCAGTTGTAGAAAGAAGGTCCTGGCTCTCCAATGCTCTGTAGGCACATTTATTGGAACAGGGTGAACACCGCAACTTTTGACCCACAGATGGGTCTCTGCAAAGCTTGACCCTTCTGTGGGTTGAAATGTTGCGGTGTTCACCCAGTTCCAATATTATGGAAAATGTATCCATACTTACCGTAATTTTCTTTTCCTGGCTATTACTCATGGCAACATTTGCCTATGGGTTAGCTCCTCCCTCTAGCCAATAGGACAGGAAAAACTTCAATTAAACAATTTAGAGGACAGGTATATCAGGCTCTCTGTCAGCCTAGTTCCTCAGTCCAGTAACAAGCATGTCCTCCACAGTGGGAGGGATCATTAAATGCTGCCATGAATAATAGCCAGGAAAAGAAAATTATGGTAAGTATGGATACATTTTCCTTATTCCTGGCCAATCATGGCAGCATTTGCCTATGGGAATACCCAAGCAGTAAAAATTACAGGGAGGGAAGTAATGCCAAAAATGTATTAAGCCTGTACGGAACTTAGAACCGCTAGACCAAATTGTGAATCAGCCGATGAGGCTACATCCAATCTATAATGGCGTACGAAGGTTCTGAGTGAAGACCAATTAGCCGCCTTGCAAATGCTCTCCGCTGGAACACCAGCCGCTGCAGCCCATGAAATCGAAATAGACCTCGTAGAGTGTGTCCTGATCCCTTTAGGCACTAGAACATCTTGAGACTTATTTGCCCTAGCAATAGCTGTGATGATCCAAGAACGGAGAGTAGCAGTTGAAGAGGCCTCACCTTTATGTGTTTGCCAAGGAATGATAAACAATTGTTTGGACTTCCTCCAACCAGCAGTACATTGAATGTAGGGTGATAAACATCACTTGAGATCAAGCCTGTGACACCTTTCTTCCATAGGAGAAGTTGGATCAGGAAAGTAATCAGGTAGGACAATTTCCTGGTTCAAATGAAAGGGTGTAACCACCTTAGGTAAGAATTCAGGTTTTGGACGAAGAATCACACGGTCATGAAGGAAGGATATGTAAGGTTGGTCAACTGAAAGGGCTTTAATATCAGCAACTCTCCTAGCTGAGACTAATGCAAGAAGGAGCAACGTCTTGTGAGAAAGCATGGTGATTGAGATTTCTTCCAAAGGTTCAAACAGAGAGTCTGTAAGAGAATGCAAAACCAAAGGAAGATCCCAAGGGGCCGTAAAGGAATAGATCAGAGGTCTGATTCTGATGACGGCCTTAAGGAACCGAATCACCAATGGATCTTCAGCCCATCTAAACCCTGAAATGGCAGATATTGCTGAACAGTGAACCTTAACTGTACTGAGGCTGAGGCCCTTGTCCAGACCGGCTTGTAAAAATTCCAAAACTTGCAAATTTGTGACTTCTTCTAAGGAAAGAACTTCCTTATTCAGCAAATTTTTGCCAAATGCTGTGATACGTGTGAGAAGTAGAAACTTTCCTGGAACACAACAGAGTAGACATCACCTGCTCTGGAATACCCTTAGAGATTAAGGATCGCCTTTCAAGAGCCAGGCCTGAAGCGTGAGTTTGTGTGGTTCCGGATGGTGAAGAGGACCCTGGAACAACAGATCCTCTGACAGAGGTAATTCCCATGGATTGTCTATCATCAGCCTCCTCAATAGGGGGAACCATGGACGTCGAGGCCAAAATGGTAAAATGACTATCACCTTGCAGTCCTCATTGGATATTTTCTTGAGGACCATCTGTATCAAAGGAATCGGAGGAAAGATGTAAGCCAGATCGAAGTTCCATTTCACTGAGAGAGCATCCTGTGCCATGGCCTTGGGATGAAACCATCTTGAGATGAAGGTTGGAACTTGGGCATTCTGTGCTGTGGCCATAAGGTCGACTTGGGGAAATCCTCACCATTGGAAAAGCTGCTCTTAGTTCCTAGATATTTGAGGGTAATTGAAGGGCATGGTGATGCCACGTTGCTTGAACAAACTGACTTCCGAAATGGGGACTCCAGCCTGACTGTCTCGCATTGGTGGTTATAATCCTCCAGTCTATTTCCTTTAGTGGAAACCCCCAGGATATGTGATTCCAGGACAGCCACTACTGGAGATCCTGCTTCAGATGTCGTGGAATGAAAAGGGCAGTTTCCCATTCCTGAGAACTGGCGTTGAAGTGGTCTAGCAGGTACTTTTGAAGTGGACGGATATTCCACTGTGCCCATCTGACAAGGCTTATCGTTGACGATAAAGTGCCCAGTAACTTCATGAAACCCCTTGCTGGAGCCAAAGACCGTTAGCGAAATTGCAACAGAGTCATCTTCCTTGCATGGGCTAAGGATACAACAGTAGTTTTGGTGTTGAAATGAGCCCCGAGAAATATCAGCTCTCTGGACGGATGTAGTTGGCTCTTTTCTTGGTATATCAACTAGCTGAATTGGGAGAGAGTTTCTGTAAGGAAACCAAGTATATTTAACCTCATTCGGTAGTTTCCTCCCGAACCGCCAGAGCCTTAGTGATTATAGCCCTCCGTTTGGTAGTTAGGGTAGACGAATCCTATAGCAATTCCAATAGTCTCACAGATAATTCCCACGAATCCCCAAACATTAGCCGAAGTCAAGAAGAAGAGTACAAAATGAACTGTCCTTTAATGGGTGCACACAGCTTTTATGTAAGTCCCCATGCAAGGGGACAGCCCTCAGGGAGGGACAAAAAATAACCAATTACAAACCGTAAAATGTTAACACACCTACAATTCACTCCCCTAGCCCAGGAGATAATTTAGTCTGATAAAATAGTAACTTAATTATCTCCGGGCTGAAAAATCACTTTTTCCCCAACTTTCAGAACACCCCTTTATACTGGGGGTATCCCCATAAATTATGTGTCCCCTGATAGCCCTGATCTGGGTGACCAACATATTCGAATTTCACCCAGATCGGTTCAGGGGTTCGCAAATTTTATGGAAGTCTTGTGTGACCGGCTCACCCTGGGCTGCATGCCCAAAACAGTTCCACGAATTTGGTGGGTTTTGCCGGTCACTTTCGAAAAAACATAAAAATGAATAAAAATACAGAATGGATCCTTCTGGCTCCTAGCAGCGTTCGTGTCCCTCTGTCGAATGCACCAAAGTACCGAATAGCACTCTTCTAACTATTCAGTAAATAGAGTTCCAGCGTTTGTCTGTTTGGGACCGGTGTTCGGGAAGTCGAGTGTCCGTAAAACAGTTCCATGCACTCAATGACCAGGTCCCGCTGCCTTTGTTCGCATGAACAAAGATGGCCGCGGTTTTCTCTGCCACGTGGAGTTCGACTAACGAACGCTGGCCGCACAGACAGAGGTAGCAATTTCACCTAAACCTTTGATGTTTAATGAGTGAGAGGGTTGTCCTTGTTCGGTAGTTTCATCTACCGAATGCAATAGGCAGCAATAGAGGATAAAAAGGGAATGCAAACAGTAAATAACATAGGGATCAGGGGGTTTCTTCACAGTTTCTAGAACCAGAGACCGATGTTGAATCAACAGGTTGTATTCTGGAGCAGTTATCAAAATGTCATCCAGGTAATTGAAGATTTTGACTCCTTGTTTTCTTAGCAAGGCTATAATTGTAACCAGGACCTTCGAGAAAGTTCTGGGAGCAGTGCTTATGCCAAACGGCAGGGCCCAAAACTGGAAGTGATGGTCGTAAATATAAAACCTGAAAAATCTGGCCAATTTCACCTCCTTTAGGGATTTCGGGATGTGGTGTCTTCTAACACCTCTATCTAGGTCTTCCTCAATATCCATTAACCATACTTTCATAGCCCTTGACATGGCTGAAATGGCTACTTCTGGATGACATCCTAAGCCAGCTGTGACAAACAACTTTGAAAGGTTGGCATCAATTCTCTTGTCCATAGCATGTCTAAGAGAAGCATTACTATCAATGGGAAGAGTGGAGTGTTTAGGCACCTTGATAACCGGTGCATCTACCTTATGATTAGAAATCCAAAGTTTTGAATCACTCTCATTGATAGGATATAGCTATGGGAGGCGTGATTGCAAGGAGAATCTTTTCTCTGGAGTAGTCCATTCAGTCTTCATAAGTTCCTTAATAGACTTATGTACAGGGAACAAGACTCTTTTGCAGCTCAGATCGCCAAAAAAATCTGTCTGATGCAGATGACTCTTGGACCACCTCTGTAATCTCCAATGCTCCACGGCTCTTGAGTCCAAGGGACATTGGCTGTTGGAGGCTTCCTCTTCACTGGAGGAAATCTGTTCCAACTCCCAGGCATCTCTAGTGCCTTGCCTCCCTTCTTCTGATGATTCTGACCCCATCTGGAAAGAATCTTGTCTGGGCCTTTTGCCTCTATTAGAGTCGGCCATTCTGTCTGCCACTGCCTGTTTTATCCAAGTGTCAATATCTTGTGCAGAGGTTGAGGCCTGGGGTGCCTGATGTTTTTCATATTCACCCGCAAGTAGGGCTAAGCATTTTCAGCAAAGCCTGCAATTCTCCCAGGGCCTTGCACCACATCCTGGGCAGGCCGTCGGCTTCTCCCTTCTCCGTGATGGAGATCTAGGGCCCGACCGGACTTGAGGGTTGTTGAGGCAGAAGTCATAAAAGACTGCACCCTCTGTGCACTCTTTAATAATATTTCCAATAAATAAAATAAAAAAGAATGAGTATTGCTCACCTATGACCTATTGCAGATGACTTGGAAGAGATAGGAGAATGGTCCATATTGATCTATGGGCTAATGGTGAAAGGTTGCTTTAAATTCATAATGTATGCAACATAAATATTTGTTAATGGGAAACAAATTCCCTCTCTTACCTGCAGCAGGCTAAAATTCTGGAATTGAGAGCAAAAAAACACATCCAAATCCGATCTTGCTGTGTAGAGAAAAGCTGCAAACTTTAAAAGCTTTTAAAAGTCCCAGTTTTAATTTTCACGCCTTGCGCCCATCTGTGCGCATGTGTTCACGGCTAAAAAGAAGACCCGACCGCCATCTTTAGAACTGCCGTGCTATTTGCGCATGCGCATGCATAATACACACGAACAGCTTGCTGTTCGCGCATTTTGAGCCTGCTAGATGCAAATACTGACGGTAATCGGCAAAACAACACTTACCAGACCTCTGAATTCAGCCGAACGCATACTCGGCCAAGCCTGGAAGCATGGATGTAGCAGAAGCAGGATCCAAGATATACTGCAGAGATACTAATCTCTGCAGTCTCTAGGGGTTCCCATCTACACACAGCTGGGCTACATGTTAACCTGGAGCTTCCTCGGCAGGGAGGCTGTCCTGCCCAGGGTGAAGGCTACAAATATAGTCAGGTGAGCAAAAGAAAATGTTTTAACAGCTTAAACTGTCTGTCCCTGGCTAAGAGGACAGGAAAAAAAGACTGAGGAACTGGGCTGACAGAGAGCCTGATATACCTGTCCTCTTAATTGTTTAATTGAAGTTTTTCCTGTCCTATTGGCTAGAGGGAGGAGCCATGATTGGCCAGGAAATGTGCTTATAAAGCACTGGAGTGCCCGCACCTTCTTTCTTTAGGTCATATCTATATTTTGCTGAGCTGATGCCGGCCCAGGATCTAGTTAAGCACCCATTTTAGCTCTGTGAATTGAGTGCAGTTCCCTTTGTTTTTTTCTGTAAAATAGATTCAGTAACTGAATACATTTTATATCTGGCATCAACATACAATGTATGCCATTTCCATCTTTTGGAGTGCCTCTAGTGGTTTCTTATGAGAAGTATATGTTTGGAAAAAGACCAATAATCTTGACGATCTCACAGTAGGAGGTTTGAACTGCAGTGAGAAGTCTGCCCTGGCCTGCACCGCGAATATGTTTAATTTGGCCCAGTAATCTACACATAAAGAAACACATCTAGTAATTAAATGAAAAAAATAATAAATAAAATTATACATAATATATAGCTTCTAGATTGGACAAAGGTTGACAGCAGATCTCCACCTTTTGTCAATTTTTGTCAACCTCAGGCTTGCCCATAGAACAAAGTAATCCCATAGTCCCCTACTTTGTTTTATGGTATCATTGGATTACAGTACAATTTCAATGAAATTCCAACGCAGCCAGCATTCGTATGTCATAAAGAATATATAAATATTGAGAAGTGACAGAGCTTTAATTAATGCGTAAGCTTTTCTTTCAGCTGTAAAGCAGCCAGTGTGTAGGACTCATCTATGGGGGTTGGCAAGTGAACTTACACTCCTGAAGTACTAAAAACATGTTATTTAACAATGTGCACAAGGCTAATATATGTGTTTTTAACTGACTCACTATTATTTGTTCATATGTAGGCTTCCACAAAAAAAAAAAAGAAAAAATCTTAACCTAAACAGAAAAATCAATGGTAAAAATAAAGCACACCCTCTTTAAATTCTATGGTTGTACATATCAGGGCATAGTGACAATCATCTATTCCTTAGCCGATCTCAAAATTAGATGAATAACAATTGACATATTGCATTGTGTCATGATTTATTTAACAAAAATAAAGCCACAACGGAGAAGCCATGTGTAAAAACTAAATACACTCTTACTGCTTCCATAGGAATTAAGAGGCTAAGAAGCAGACAGGTGCTGCTCATCAAATTTCATGATCAGCATGTGTGACCACCTCTATAAAAACTTACATTTTTGCAGTTTGCTGGGCTGCAGCATTCAGGTTTGTGCTAACACAATGCCAAGGCGGAAAGACAGCAATAACCTTAGAGAAGCAATTGTTGCGGCCCTTTAAACTGGAAAGAGTTATAAAGCCTTTCCCAAACAATTTAAAATCCATTATTCTACAGTGAGAAAGATTATTCAAAGGTGAAAAACATGCAAGCTAGTGGCCAATCTACCTAGGAGTGGATGTCACACATCCACCTCAATGTCAGATTGTGCAATACCCAGAGAAGTTGCAATAAACCCATCTTAGATTCTAGAGGCCTCAGTTAGCATGTAAAATGTTAAAATTCATGACAGTACATTTAGAAAAATTCTGAACAAGTATGGTTGTTGGAATGGTTGCCAGGAGAAAGCCTTTGCTTTCTAAAGAGAACATGGCAGCATAGTTTAGGCTTGTAAAGTTTCATCTGAACAAGACAGGTTCAATGATGTCCTTTAGATAGACGATACCAACGTGGAGACGTTTGGTCATAATGCTGTGTTTGGTTTTGCCGAAAACCAAACATCATATCAGCACAAACATCTTATACCAACTGCCAAGCACAGTGGTGGAGGGGTGATGATTTGGGCTTGATTTGCAGCCACAAGACCTGGGAACCTTACCGTCATTGTGTCGACCATGAACTACTCTGTATACCAAAGTATTCTAGAGTCAAATGTGTGGCCATCTGGCCGACAGCTAAAGCTTGGCTGAACTTAAGTCATGTAAAAGAACAATTATCCCAAGCAAACCATCAAATCTACAACAGAATGGCTGGAAAAAAAATCAAGGTGTTGCAATGGCCCATTCAAAGTCCAGACTGCTACCCAATTGAATGCTGTAGCGGGACCATAAGAGAATTGTGCATAAACAAATGCCAGCTAGCCTCAATTAACTAAACCAACACTACAAAGAAAAGTGGGCCAAAATTCCTCCACAACGATGTGAGAGACTGACAAAGTCATACAGAAAGTGATTACTTCCAGTTATTGCTGCTGAAGGTGGTTCTCCAAGTTACTGAATAACAAGGTCTACTTCTTTTTCACGCATGGCTTCTCCATTTTGGCTTTATTTTTGTATATCATGACACAGTGTAACATGTCATATGTTGTTCTTCATCTGAGATTGCATTTACCTAATTTTGAGACCAGCTAAGGAACAGAGTAAAAGATGATTGTTATTATGTCCTGAAATGTATATGTAATATGAAATGTAATTATAAATATAAATATATATATATAAATGTTCACTTCTAATACATTAATAAATCTACAATCCTTGAAATCCCACATGGTCTTTTTCTATATGCACTGCAGATCTACTTTGGGGATTACACCTACTGTATCTAGTTTCTCTCGTCATCAAATATTTTTGGCAAAACCCTTTTTTTATCAATCTATTTTATTAGCAGTCCCTATAATTCTTGTGTGGTCCCTTTCCTCCAAAGTCACCTTTCCTAATGTGCTTTCTTACTCATCATAGAAGACCCAGGTTCTTTTGTGCTTGCACAAGATGTGGTTCATTTAAGGGCAAATTTAATTTTGGGTAACTAGCCCGAAATAAAAAAGCTAAAAAACAAATCACGTATCCTCTTTGAATGCTTGCCTTTTTAAACCCTCCACTGTCAGGCCCAGACTTTAACTTCTATTCTTTGTCAAATTCAGACGAGTTTGGATTTATTTAATCTGCATCAAGAACAGCCCAGTCGTCTTGTCACATCTGGCTCAGTCAAGGTCAAGTATGTTTCCTTTAGATCAGGTTTTGAGTCATCAAGTCAAGTTCAGTCAAGTTCAAGTATTTAAGACTATATCCATGGCATGTTTAGAACTCTTCTTTTGTCAAATCATATCTTGTCAAACTCAAGTATACAATTTGATGATACAATGTCCTGCTCTAATCCTGATCTTAACTTTGATTGCAGTGTTTAGATCATGTTGTCTAGTTTTAAATGCCCAGATATTTCTAGTAACAAGGTTTTTCTTTTTTTCTCATCACTACCTAGCTTTATTGAAATACATCAAATGTGGATTTGCAAGTACCCACATTTCCCAGTTCATTACCTTAGTGGACTTTAAAACAAATATAAACCACTATTTATCAGGAAATTATATATTTTCTTAACTAAAAATACTATGTGAGATAAATATGAAACTTTCTTGATAATTTCTCTATTTTTAAACTTCTTATGAACCTTACTCCATGATTGCAATGGGCTTGACACTATCATTCTCAAATTGCTACATGGTAGAATTATTTATCACATGCTAGGTGATAGTGCCTTCAACTCTGAAGCTTTGTGTGTTGAATTCAAGTTCATTTCAGTTTCAACATGCATATATTCACAACGAAAGTCTCAGAAATAACCCACACATACTCAAAATTCAAAAACACATATACATATATTAAGTAGAAAATTTAAAAAAAAAAATAGGAAAAAAAACCCCATACAAAACCATAATGATATTTTGTATTCAGGAAAAGTATCTCAGAACAGGGATGTTATTAGTTACCAAAAAAGACCAAGGGATTCAGCCTGAGGTGGCCCCTCCCAACCAATTTATTGAGCCCAGATCATGCTCTGTTAACTCTGCATCTGCCACACTTGTAACATTCAAATCAAGCCCCCATTGCAAGACCCGTACACTGTGCTATATAATTAACTCCAAATAGGGTGCATTAAACTAGCATATCACAAATTATGAAGGTGTTTTGACTGTGTTATTTCTCTCTCAACATTACAGAACCAACAATGAAAGCATTCCTAAATCAAACCCAGGCTTTATAGGGTCTCGCTTGCGCTTCTACTCCATGTCAGCATCTCCAATAACACCCCGTCTCAGACCTCATATTTTTGTTCTAATAACCACGTCTTTCATTCCACATATACTATTTTCTATAGGGAGGTATTTGAGATATACAAAATATCAGTTTTAGGATATTTAACCTTGGCACTGTATTCACTTTGTCAGTATGAACACAATTCCCTTTTCAGTGGTTTAGCAGTAACTATATAGTCCATTGTGGTAGGGCTAGAATAATAATGTAGTTTCTCTTGGAAACCTCACCTCTTTATTTAATTTCAAAGATCTTACTCAAAGATCTTACATGGATTTCGAGATATTGATTTTTCAAGTGTCCAGGATTACAATCGTCTGGTTGTGATCAGATTATTAAATACCCATTTCAGCAAAATGATTCCAATAACCAGAGGATGCCAATCAGAGGAGCAGTCTGCTCCTACAAGGAAACATTTTACACATGAATGAGCTTAGAAAATAAATTGAAAGAACGATTAAAAAATATTTCGGTTTCAGAAAAATCAGTTTCTAATTTGGGCTCCTTGATTGAATCTTATAATGAAATACCATCAACGTTGTTTCCTCAACTCAAAAACAGTTCAGTAAAACAAAATCATTCGCCTAAAATGCAGCACACATATCACAATATTACTCTGTGGAATTCCATAAAATTGAGCCTTTTTTATGTTTTATTTTTATTGTAGTTTATTGCCTACTGGTTATATTGCACCTTGCACCTTACAATCATCTTCATATATTTCTTACAAAAAAACATCAAACTTTTTCACTAACTTGATGGTGATATTAAAGAAAGCTAAAATGGAAAAAAATATACCATGTCAATTTTGGCCCTGCTTATTTATTTATTATTTTAAGCCTATTATAACAAATTACTTGCCTGACTTTTATGATAGAGCCATTTTTCGAATCGCTCTCCTGAAGGGTTTAATTAAAATTTAGAACTCCTGTGAGAAATCGAGTTAAACATTGAGGAGCAATCTCCTGATTTAAATCGATAAATGTTTCTCAAAATAAAAAAAGGCATATTCGAAGTAGCATTACAAACATTTCTTTAAAATTTCTCGTAACCATTCATACTGCTATCTTGCGTTTAAGGCCAATAACCCACAACATTCTCCTGTATTCCAAAGAAAGTATAATGTTTAAAAGTCTTTTTACATTAAGAAGGTTAAAGTTTTGAATCCATCTTTAGAAGAATTGACACAGGGATAGCCACAGGGATTCCAATTTGCTTTTTCACGTAGACTCTTATTTAAAACAGCATGATATCCAGTAATTGGTATTCTTGAAATGTACACTATACCACATGTAAAATACAACCATGTAAAAAGAAATGTGTCTGAGAAGTGCTTAGAAATAGGTATTTTGGATGGCAGAAATAGCAAATAAAACATATAAAATGGATGGTAAAAACCAATTGCAACAGAAACACAAGTAATCACAATTGTATTTTTTTATAACAAATTGCTGCAAATGTGAACCTAATTATATTTTTTGGGATATACTGATATTTTTCTGATATAAATAAATATTAAATTATTACTTGAATCCTGTTAAATGATCAACTGGAGTGAAAACCTACTAATTTCATCCAGATCCTGAGAAGGCAGGCCAAAGTCTAGTCAAAAAAAGGGACATGTGTGAGTGGGTGGAGTGTAGATTCAAGGCAGGTGAGGTCTTTAATAAGTAACGGGTGGGGCCCTGGGTAAGGGGTGGGTTTCATATATATAGGTGGCTATTTTCTGTAAGGGGTTCAGCCATCTTAATAATCCTAGCTTGGCACAGCTTACCAATACTCCGTGGATATTAATAGTGTCCTGGCAGCTCACTCGCGGGCACGACCTTCCACCCATTTTAGCCCCTCACAGCATAGGCGGTCCGTGAAAGCGAGGCCTGGGACCACCGCAGTGGGGGAGTCTACCTTTACAGGCTGCTCCCGACTTGGCTTCCTCCAGACCTCCGCAGCTCCTGTACCATTTGCTGTCCCACTGGATATTACAGTTTCGGCCCAGTAAGTTCCTCCTGGCTTGGCTCCGCTGCTCCAGTCCAAGCCTGCGCCACCTGATGCATACCTGTCGACTGCCAGGGATAACTGGGTGGAGGAGCCCAGGCGCTGCTTCACTATCTGGGTGGAATAGCTTACTGGATAGCATGAAAGGGTTCCTGGTACAATATGAGCACGGGGGGGAGGAGTTGCCTTGTCGCAGCCCCCCTCCTTGGATACAAAGATACAGGCCAGATGGGACCTAGTCCCTATGGGCTTGGGCAGAAATTTCAGCTTCATTGGGGCCGGCTGCATCGTCTACTCACAGGGTGCCCATGGCTCCTGGTTTGGTTCCCAATATGGCATCATCGGAAGTGGCTCCGGTGGCGCACGGCATACATGTGTTGGTCGGGTCTGTTGGGACTTCACTTAAAAGCGGAGGTTAAGGAGAAGATCTGGAATGGGGGAAATATTCTCCCTGCTCCCTCTTGAAGATCTCCCACCATCCGATAAGGAGTCCAAAGAATTCCATTACCATTAAATCCCATAAACATTTGGCAATTGGATTCAGATTTTTTTCTTTCTTGGCCAGTGTGATAGGGGAAAAAGCCCTGGAAAAATGCTCTGTGCTGTTTTCCTACCAGGATTTAGTTTGGAATGTGTGACAGGTCTATTGGGATTTAAGTTGGTGGCGCTATGACCAGAAATAACAGCAGCGGCTTGTGGTTTGCCTGTCCACAGGGTGGGACCTGATGGACATGGGCTGTGTTTGTCAATTATGATTTGTCTGGAGAAATAGGTATTTTGGATGGCAGAAATAGCAAATATGCGGGAGGAGTCAGGGTGTGTATCTATCCTCCACTACTTGGGTGATATCCTCTGCGTTGGGCCCACAGGGTCCCTGTGTGTTCACATTTACTTTGCTCCTTGGAGTCGGTCTCGCGGTCGTGAACTCAATTGGTGCCCGACAAGACTGTGGGCCCGGAGACATGAGCTTTCTGGGGATAGAAATCAATTTGGTCGCTCGGGAATGTCGCCTGATAGCGGATAAAGTGGGGTAGTTGCTGCTGGTGGCATCCTCTAGGGGTCTCTGTAAACTTCCATGGTGGCAATTGCAGTCGCTGTTGGAGAACTAAATTTTGCATGCCGCATTATGCCCATGGGGCGGGTGTTTAACAGGAGATTGGCAGTGGCTACATCGGGAGTGTTTAAGCCGCACCCTTTTGTGCGGCTCACCTATCTTTCCAGGACGACCTGCAGGTATGGAAAGTGTTTCTAGAGGGGTTTAATGGTAGGGTGCATTGGCAAGTCCCGGAAGTATCCAACATTGAACCTGTTCACGGATGCGGCGTGGTTGGTGAATTTTGGGGTCGTCTTGGGCCCCCCCTGGTGTGCGGCTGTGTGGACAGAGACATGGTACATGGGGGAGTGGAGCAGGGTCAAACTCAATAAGCGAGTGTCTAAATTTATACGGGCGGTTGGGGGCAATGCTGTTTTTTAACAGAATGCGACAATGTTTTTCAGGTGTGACAGGGTGCATTTCATGGAAGTTGGGTTAGATCTGTTTAATCAGGCTTTGCAAGACGGTTTGGAGGAGGCCATGGCTGGTTTGATGGGGTGGCCTTGCTGATTTTAGGGGTAAAATAGCGGGGGCTTGTGGCTGAAAAAGTCCCCTGTCAATCAGGGTTGGACCAGCGGTCCAATGGAAAGGATGATCGGGGCTTATACCTCCCCTAACATCAGTTATGATTATGGGTAATGTATGTGCCCACTGAGCCAGAGGAAGGCGAGTGGCTAGCATGGAGTGAATGTTAGGCCAGTTGTGAGGCCGGTTTGTGTATAGGATGAGGGGAGAGGGCAGGTGCCCAGGATCAGCTGGAATGGTTGGCAAGGGTGCTAAATTGAAAATGTTTATGTTTACATTATGTTAATGTATGGTGTTTAATAATACTAATGTTATTTATTGTTATTAATAAAGCTTTGGCGTGTTTGTCACCATCAACGTCTTGCGTCTGTTTAATAAGGTAAGCTAATAAAATGAGTGTATTCACATCTACACGGTACCCACTACCTTCACACATGTGTGTGTGCAACAAATAAATATGAAAATTTAAGTAAATTATAACTGTGTCTGATTAACTATAGATGAGCCGTGCTAACTTTTTAACTTACTTACAAAATAATTGTCTTGGGAAGAAAAACTCAATGTCAGATATGCAGAAGGAGCATGCTGTTTGCAAGGTCACCTGTTCTGAATTATTCAAACTTCCCAGCTTGATTTAATCCACCTAGTGATAAACGACTTGACAAAATATTTCAGTTAATGCAAAAATGTTACCTCTGCACCATCCTTAATCCCTATGCGCGTCTATATAACTAGAGGTTATTTTGAACCACTCCAAGGGCCTTTATAATTCAAGCTCACCTGCCCCATCAAGGCTTGAACTTTAATGGCCATTGGAGTGATACTAAAAGCTTTCTGTTATTTAAAGGAATTTGGGATTGTGTGTAGGTGACCTTTTTTGCTTTTGTTCCATGTATTTTGCCCACTGTAGTCAGCTGATGTGTACTGTAGCCATTGCTGCTACCCAAAAGTAGTGGAATTATGAACCCAGGGCTAAATTCTGTTGGTGAAAAAATTTATCTTTTGGCCTGCACATAGAAAAGCTTGCATCTAAACTTTATCCAAAATTAGGTACCCTGTACAGAAACAAAGCCTGCCTAAGCCCTACAGTAAAGGAAAAGATTGTACAGCAAATGCTGATGCCAATCATTGATTATGGGGATGTAGTATATGCGTCTGCATCGCGATCCCACATTAATAAACTCAACACATTGTATAACTCGTTCTGCCGATTTGTGCTACAATGTAATTACAGGACCCATCATTGTGACATGCTAAAGGAACTAAACTGGCTGTCGCTGGAATCCAGACGCACCCTTCATCTTTCCAGCCTTGTTTTTAAGAGCTTCTCTGGGAAACTCCCACCCTACCTGAACAAAATGCTTTCCTTAGCTGTTCCCACTTTCTATAAGCTCCGATCCAGTACAAGCACTTTACTTAGTCTACCTCAATACAAAAAGAAAGCGGCCCGATCCTCCTTCTCCTACAGAGCGCCGCAATTGTGGAACGACCTCCCGCACAATTTAAAATCTTCCCTAAGCCTAAAGTCATTTAAGAGATCCCTCTCTACATACCTCAAAACAGAATGCACGTGTCATGGTTGATTATATATTTCCTGCCTGTTCTATGTTAAATTTTGTATATATTGTGTATTAATATTGTTTTTGTATTTTGTTGTACCTAATGTAACAATGCAATGATTTGTGGACCCAGGACATACTTGAAAACGAGAGAAATCTCAATGTATCTTTCCTGGTAAAATATTTTATAAATAGTTATTTGCTAAAGTCATGGATTTCATATATTCCTGATGTCTTCATTCAAACAACCATACAACTGCCCACAGCACTCTGTTGGTTGGTTTAAAACCCACTTGATGTCAGACAGCAAACAAATATCACATAAACATAAATATGTTAAAACAAGCAGTGGATATAGAATAGGATATGGTTGCTCTCTTGTTACTGTGGAAGTATTGGCCAACTTAACATCTTAAATTATTTTTTTAAAGAACATGCCAGGCTCCATAACCCCTACATCATGCAGTAGTCCTCTGTACAGTCTTAGCCAATAACCTAAGCCTGCACTACTTGGGAGAGAGCAGAATGCTTCCGGTCTACAGAGTGGCAGTTAATGGCATCCAGTTGACCTTCACACTATTAGCACTGCAGTAGCTATGGTCATTGGAGTGTTCCTTAAAGACAACCATGACTCTCCATGAGAAATGTTCCTGTTTGGTGTATGTTGCAGCAAACGGTGATGAGTGAATTCAACTTTTAAAAAAACCAAGCATTTGTCATGCCCAGCAAGCATAGTTAACTATCACAATAAGGAAAGATTGCTATTAAACGTTATTTGTGTTTTGCATACATGAATTGGACATCTAGTAGATGCGGTATAGCTGATTCAAGCACAAGAATTGTGCATTTAGTTGTGCAGGAATCTGCTTGGTATCAGTAGGTTTACATCATGAATTCCGCTTTTGACACTGGAACCCGAACAGTGTTCATCTACCAGGTATGAAATCTTACCTATCTTGCCCTTTGGTCCAGCTTTGAAATTGGAGACATGGGAAACGGGATATAATATCCATGAATGCTAATGAGCTAGTGTAATTTTGAGTAAGTTGTCATCTTTACTTACCAGAGCAGAAGAGGATTGGATAATTTCTCATTTTTATTTTTAACTGTTGGTGTAAATAATTAGCATTATCTATTTTTCTTTTAATGCACTGTGACTATGTTTTGTTCATAATACATGTTCCTTTATTATGTTCTTTTTCTGTTAAATAATCACATTACCTGATGAGACCAATTAATCAGTAAATTTAAATGCCTAGATATTGTGCTAAATTGTATTTTTGTGGGTTGTTCTAATTTGATTGGGAGACCAAGGCACCCCATTTATAAGTTGTTTTGGTGGTGGCAACTTTTGACATTAAATGTGTGTGGTGTTAAGTAAGATTTTTCATTATTATTTTTGGCCTAGAACAGACAAACAATGATATTTACCCCTTTCAGTGTCAGCCGTTCCCAGCATGCTTGGAGAAGTGTGCGTTCGTGACACTACTCAAGCCAAAATCACATTCTACCAGTTGGGTATAAGTTGTTCGGTCATGCAAATAGGGGATCAAATACTTATTTCACTCATTGACATACAAATTATTATTATTATTATTATATTTATAGAGCGCCATCAAATTCCGCAGCGCTTTACAATGGGTGGACGAACAGACATGTAGTTGTAACTAGACAAGTTGGACACACAGGAACAGAGGGGTTGAGGGCCCTGCTCAATGCGCTTACATGCTAGAGGGATTGGGGTAAAATGACACAAAAAGGTAAGGATAGTATTAGACTAATGACAGTTGCAGAAGAGGAATCAGTCAGGAGCTATTAACAGTTTAATTGATATGCTTTTATGAAGAAGTGGGTTTTTAACTATTTTTTGAAGGAGTGGAGACTGGGTGAGCATCTAACGGAGGAGGGAAGCGAGTTCCACAGGAACGGTGCAGCCCTCGAGAAATCTTGAAGGCGAGCATCAGAGGTGGGAGTACGGACAGAAGATAGACGATAGACAATTTATAACTTTTTTGACATGCATTTTTCTGGATTTTTTTTCTTATTCTGTCTCTCACTGTTACAATGCACATACAGGCGAGCATCAGAGGTGGGAG